TGGATTTCACTTACAAAATGCCTGTCATTTAGAGAGGTCTTTTACATATTTCGGCAAAAAAAAACACAAATACAAAAAAAAAGACACAAACACTACATACTAATAACCTTCTTAACCATGAACCGCCTTAGCTGCAGATCAACCCATCACCCAAACTTAACAAGGAAATGGAGCACAACCACCAGCAACAAGAGCATCCCCACCATCATGCCACCCATAGCAACACCAACGACTTTAAACTTATGATCATGGTCATCCAGCTTGTGCTGGAGACTGATGTGGTCGATCCAGCAAACGATATACTCCTGTCCAAGCTGCTCCTTCAACCTTTTCATTTCAGTTTGGTTTTCTATAATCTTCGGACCACAATCACAGAAGATTGAGTGGAGCACATTGTAGTTGATGTCTTCACCAAAATTTAAAGAGTCGGGTGAAGGTGGTGGAGCCGACATTGTTGCTTTTTAAGGGTTCTTCCAGAGGATTGTTTGCCTGAATATGGTAAACAAGTTTCAGATTTGTTTTACTTCAAACCCCACATGCGTATGTCCCCTTATAATTCGAGACTTGTGTCTGGGACTCAATCGAATCGACAGTGTAAGGTTGTTGGGGTGTTGGTGGAAATTAAAGACGGTAATTACTCTTTGCATGTGTCAGCTTCTGTGTCATCGAGTCAACCCGGTATTGACTCAGTGGGTTACCTCATATGTATACATGGCAAGTGACGAGGCAGGTTAACCTGCTAAAATGGGTAAGATGACTTTCCCAATCGGTAAATAACAAGTTTATGCCCTTAAAATGCAAAAAATAGTCACGAGAGACCATTTAAACCATTATACGTAACTTTGTTGGGCTACAGTGACAATAACCCTTACATAAAATACCCCATTTTTGGTTATTTTGTCACTTTTGGCCCTCTTATGCAATTTTCTTAATTTTAAATAACTTTGATGAATTTTAAAACCTTTTCTTTGCATAATAAGTTGAAATAAGTGTTATGTTCTACAAATATCATCACATTTTTGTAGATCTTCAAGTTCATGGAGTTTATAACACATAATCACACATATATCATGAAAAACACACAAAATCATGCATACACATAGATCTACACAAAACAACTTGTATTCTCCCCCAAAACATAGTAAAAACTGAAAATAGAGGGTATAAACTCACATTGGTGGATGGTTTTCGGTTTTTGATGAAGAATGAGAAGGATCTCGGTCCTAATAAGCTTCTTGAGTGGAGATCTTGAAGATGTGGGTGGTTCTAGAGCCTCATATACGAAAATAAGGTTGTAAGAACAAAGATTTTGCTATCGAATTGAAACAAAACAATGAGGTTTCATCAAGACTTACCATTGTTTATGAAGTTTGAAGGGATCTTCTTGTGTACACCCAATACTCACGAATATTTGGAGGTGAAAAGGAGAGAAAATTTAGACGGTTTTTGAGAAGAATTCTTGGAGTGTTGATAATTGAATGGAGAGGGGTGAGTGGGGATCCTTATGGCCGAGAGGTAGAGAGAGGAGGAGAGTGATTTGAAAGGAGGTCATTACATGGAGGTTTAATGCTTAATCATGGAAATATGTGAGGTAATTACTTGGAAGTCCTCTAGTTAATAATGAGGTGTCATGTTGTTTGATTTAGTTAAGTTTTTTTTTTCTTTTTTTTTTGTGCAAATCGAGAATGAGAGTGAGGGTATGAAAGGAATTTTGATTGTTGGGCTAAGATTGCACATAACCGAAAATATAAGGCCCAACATGAAAATTTTCGGCCCATTGGGCCCATATGAGAGTTTACTACCCATAATGGTAAAAGAATGGGGTTTACTGCCCATAATGATAAAAGAATGGGGTTTACGGCCCATAATGATAAAAGAATGGGGTTTACGGCCCAATAGGGCTTATAAACCCATTTACGGCCCATTAAGGCCCATGATGACAAGGTGAGACATTTTAGGCCCAATAAGCCCCTATGAGAAGTCTTATGGCCCAAAATGCTATTATTTAATGAATATGGGTCCAACTAGGGCCCATATAAGGATTCTTAGTCCATAATGACCAAGTTATGAGTTTATTGGCCCATTAGGCCCAATAAGGGGATCCTGGTCCATTCTGAGTTTGAACTGGGATATTAGGGTTTTAAACCCATATTTGAGTAGGTGAGATGTGTTGAATTAGGTTTTGAACTTCACTCATGAGTTTTGATTCCAATGGTTGATTTTGAATGAGTATAGTACATGACATCTACTTAGCTTTACAAGTTATACAAGAGTTGATTACATGAGAACAAAATTTTCTAGCCAAGAAATGCTAGTTGTGACATCATCCCCCCGTTAAAGGGAATTTCATCCCAAAATTCTTTTGAAAGATAGAACTACGAACGAGAGAATAGGCGAGGGTACTTCTGCTTTATCTGGTCTTCGCATTCCCATGTGAATTCCGGTCCACGCTTAGCGTTCCATCAAACCTTCACAATCGGAATGCGACTCTGTTTCATGCGCTTCACTTCCTTATCCATTATCTCAACTGGTTCTTCGACGAACAGGAGATTCTTGTTTATTTCGATCTATTCCAGAGGAATGATAAGGGTTTCATCTGATAAGCACTTTTTCAAATTTGAGACGTGGAATACGGGGTGTACGTTGCTGAGCTCCGCAGGTAGCTGTAGCTTATAAGCCACCGGACCAATTCGGGCAAGAATCTCGAATGACCCGATGTATCGCGGGTTTAGCTTGCCCCGCTTTCCAACTTGGATCTTCCTTTTCTAGGTAGAGTCCTTCAACAACACCCGCTCTCCTACTTGAAACTCCAGAGGCTTTTACCCTTTATCGCCCTTTTGTCGGTCTCGCGATGCTTGGGGTCGTACCTTGATTTGAAATATTTTCTCCGTCGTTTCCCGAATGATCTTGGGATCTGTAAGAGTGTTGTTCGATGCTTGTCCTCTTGCTAGTTGGGTGTTGGTCATCTCAGCCCAACACAGAGGTATTCTGACTTCACGTCCTCTATGGTGAGGTGGATTAATGGTCATGGTTAATGAGGATCGTGTTCTGGACGTCCCAAAAGTAGTACCTCCAAACCCTAAGGTGAACACTATTATCACTAAGGTTAAGGTCACGTGATGTAGTTGGCCTCCTACTTTTTAGGCTGCCATTGGAGTTTCTTATTGTGGGATTCTGAACTAGTAGGATGTTGATCTTTGCTTGTTTCTAGGGGCAGGTCGAGTACGTCTTCGTTTCGGGATAGGGGATATCGATCCTTAAGGATGGGTTCGTTTGATTCTTAGTAGTCAGTGGTCCTATGGACACTTAGCCTTTCATCTTTATGAGTTGATTAGGCGCTCTCTAAGGTTCAAGTCTTGGTTTGGTAACTCTCACACTTACTGGGTCATTCCCTTGACCGGATGAATTTGGTGTCCTTGGTGGATCGTGTATAATTTCCGAACTTGACTTGCCACGTATAGATAACATTTCTGAAAGGACTTCTGGAATCCACTTCGGAAAGATTATAATTCTCTAGGTTACCCTCGATATCCTTTGCTTCTCGTTTCTTATCTCTATTATGGGCTAGGAACGAGCGTGGTATTTCTTACATAGGTACTTAGGAGTCTAAATGCCAGGAATGATTCGGGGGTCTGTCCTTATAAGTTGTAAGGATTTAGTTAGTCGATTGGTTAAGGCGTAGGGTCTCTACATGAGATTTTTATGGTGAGGATCAAGCCAACCTCTGCCAAGTGTCGTTGTTGGGTTCCTTAGAGTTTGTCGTAATAGAGGTTGGATTGACTTGGAAGGGATGGTTGTTTGGAAATGAGAGTGTGTTTCATGTATTCGTTTGTAATGTTCCCGATTTCATCCTTGTTATCATTACCGCGAACGTTCTTGTACCACGTTTAGTGAGTATTAATAGTAGGAGTGTTTCGATTATTAGTGATGAAATTGGATAGCATGATCCTCACCAGGTCTTTCTATAATCGCTTGGCGGTTAAGAAGCATGTATAGTTAAGGATGGAAGACAGTCGACTGAGGGGCTCTGTCCTAAATCCATACCCTCACAAGGAACAGGAAATAGAACGGATTCACGCACTCTAAACCTTTAGAACCTCAATTATATATGACCCTAATATGTACACTAAGCCCTCGTGGCTCTCATGCACGATCCTTGGTCTTTATACGAATGACATGTCTTGTTTGGACGATAGAGTAATCTATAATTAATGACTAACACCTTTGAATATCTTTATTGGGAAAACGTACCGTTGTTCATAGGTGATTCCGGGAGGGTCTGTCCTGTAGTGTTTGTCAGCATATTACTTAAATGGTCAATTATGTCATAAATCATAAATAAAACCTACTAAACATGCTAAAACAGGTCTTAATGGCTAAATGGAAGCAAAATCATGACTTCAATGATTTATTTAACATAATTAGAATTTTGGTGGCTATACAAGGAAAATTTAAAACTTCCATAGCTAAAAAAGTCAAAACTTCTCGTTATGAAATGCTTTTATGTTAGTCCGGAATGTTCGATAACATTATAAAATGTACTATAACATTAGAGAATGTATTTATGTAAGATTCCAGAATACCTTTACGTCAATTCTCATCAACTTTCGAACAATCACAACTAATCCAAAATGTCCACAGACAAAATGACTATTTTCAAATACAGAAAAAAATGGTTATATTTGTTAGTTATCTCGTATATAAATGCTAATTTGATCAATATCCCAAATAAATATATTACTATTATAGTAAAGTATTTTGTTCAATATTTATATAAATTTAGTATATATTTCTCAAAGTTGACTATTCGATTTATTAACATCAAATCAAAATACCAAATAATATACGAGTAAACGCGGTTAATTAATACTCGTACAAATAGTTCGACTTAATTATCACAAAATCAAGACAATTGAAAAAAAAAATCAAAATTAAAATCAAAATCAAAATCAGTTTAGTTATTTTTGATTTTTGAAAAGAGATCAAAAGTCGTATTAGATCAAATATTTTCTTTCCCTTTCAACTGCCCTTAGCCCCAATTCCTCACTATTTCTTCTCCAGGGCTCCAAACTGAGCAATTGAACACCAGTTTTCCAAATTTCACCAGAAAACCCTAATTCTCAGCGATTAAACCCTTGATGAACTTGTTCGCACATTTTTCTGTTTGGAGAAACTAATTTCAATGTCGAATTCTCGTGTCGGAGTTGGAGGAGGGATACCTAGAGGTATCAGCCTCGCCAACACTGTTCATTCCGAAGTCGCTCCATGCTTGCCGTTGCCGTCGCTGCCGGTATTCTGCGGCGCTCTTGACCAGGACCTGCGGTTAATTGACGAGCCTACGGGTTCGGCCAAGCGGTTAAATCGTAGTGATGTTCCCGATCAGGCTAGCAAGATATCCAAACTTCTCCAGTCTACTGATGTGTCTTACCTGTGAGTATCGGAACTACTTGAATTGTGAATTTTAATTTGCTTATCATGCTCTGCGTACATAGTCATGTAGAATTTTACTGTATACGTGTACGCTGAATTAAAAATGAAACTCAACTTGTAAAGCGATGTTAGATTGAGATCTGAAATTGCATTTGAATTTGAATCAATGTTGCTCATTCTTAACAAAATGTTTCGAATTGTTGCTGTTTTCTGAAATGTGAAACGTGAGAAGGAGTCAAGTCTAGAGTAGTATATATCAACTTTATTTGTGAGGGAACAGTCGTCAGGAAAAGTCAATGGTACATTTTTCATTTATGCGGATTGAAAACTAAAAGCACGCTGAAGGATGGTTGTAGACCTTGAATAGTACAAGGATTGCACATGAAGTAACTAAATATATGAATGGAACTATGGAAGAGATCAAATCGTAAAAAACAAAGAACAGCATTAAAATTTATTGATATCATTTGGTCTATTAGAAGATTACATTGTAAGTGTAAGCAATTATTAATATGCGTAGGATAATGCTACAGTTCATAAGAAGTTATCTCCCAAATTTAAAAATGAATGTGGTATGTGGTGAAATGTGGATTTATTAGTTTTTTTGGCTTTCTCAATGACAATCTGGTCTGGTATGCAAGGCTGATTCAAGGCTACACCTTTACATGGCCATTTTAATGGCACCCTTGCAAGGTCCACCATGTTTGCACCATTGCAGAAGTCCTATTCATTGACATCTTATTAAAAGCCTATTTGTGTGGATCACTTAGTGTTGGTTGTAAAGCTTTTTATTTTTTATTTTTATTCTTTTTCCGGAGTATCTAAGTTGCATATTAAGAAACGAAAGTAATACTACATAAAGTTGTGTGCTTTTACAAAATTTGCATGGTTTGGCATGCTATATGAATCTGATGTATGGAAGTAAGTGCTGAAGAGTATTTTTAATTTTCAATGTAAGTTGTAAGAAATGTTATGCAAGGTGTTGGTTTTACTTTTACATCATTTTTTGTTAGCTGCTGCATAATATTAACATGTTTTAATTGATGGTATGCAACTTACTAGACCTGCAACAAAAGAGATATATGGCTAGGGTCACATTTGATATAAAAGGAAAATCTGTTGGCTGTTATGATAAGAATACATTCTTTCCCCATACAAACATTTTTTTGTCATTTGCTGTGTCTTTTCCTATTGGCAATTTGCAAAAATGTGTGCAAGATATCACATTTAGGACCAGAATTTGTAATTTATCTTAAATCTTTTCTTCTTCCAAAATCCAAATGCGAACCTTTTGTCACTTCTGGTGATATTGTTTCCTGATATTATTAAATACTACTTGCAGGAATCTTAGAACGAAAGGAACCCAGTCACCTTATGGTCATGAAGGACATCTAGACCTTTACAATGAGGTTCTTAGATGCAACCCTGAAGCATTTGAGCACATTGCTCCAGGTAAACAAAGCCTGTTAAGCCGATTCTAATGTTCATTGATTCTTATAGCAGCCTTAATTTTCTGAAGATGTTCAGTGACTTTTTGTTTTTGAGGAAAAAGAATTTTACCAATTACACGGGGGAGTATCATGATGCATATATAATTTCTTCTTCAGTAATTAATAATTAGCCCAAAGTAGCATGGAATATTCAGCTCTTAGATGTCATCGCTACTGTTGTTAGCAGTCTATTTTTATATTTCACTTGGAAGATGACAATAGTTATGATACATGCTGATAAGAAACTGTTATCTTTCGCTATTAATTCCAATTGCTATAAAAGATAAACATTTATTGAGAACGCATTCTAAAAATTGATTCTTAACCTTCTCGCATATGCCTTATAATTAGTTAATTACCATCTTTACTCTAGACCAGGAGATTTTGGTATTTAATGTAGGGCAAACAATGAACAACATATTTAAAGAAAGTGTGTGACATAGATGAGAGGCAAAATTGCAAAAGTTGCTAGGCGATTACTCGATTAGTTGGGATCTTAAATTGTAAAGATTTTAATTTTAGGATTATTATTATTATTTATATATATGACCAATATCATTACAAAATAGGTAAACAACTATAATATGTGATTTATAATTACAGACCTGAAAATAGGATTATTATTATTATTTATAGTATACGTCTCCTATGGAACAAAATACTGAAAGTAGTCTCAGGTGTTAATTAATAGACTTAAATGTTTAACTGTTGAGTGTTGATATGATCTATGAGAGAGAGACATATGAGAACTTCTTTTGGTAAGATTTTTCAAGTTAGGGTTAGAATAGATAAATTAAGATATTTATTTTATTAATTTTGACTTTTTGATTTGACTATTTTGACCACTTATTCATTTTGACCGGTTTTGACCTTGGTTGACCTAATTTTGCTGCTTACTCAGCATCCACCTAGCCTCTAGGCTGATTTTTACAACACTGATGAGAGGGAAGATAGATCTATGAGAAACTAGAAAAGTTGGCCACTAATTGATATAATACAATTTATCTATTTTGGCATATCTGAAGCTTTCCTTGCTTATCATTTATTGATATTTTTAAGTTTCTCAGGTTCTGCGAAGCAGCAAATGTATAATAATTCTGTACCTAAAAACAAGGTATCTGAAAGGAAGCAGTTAGTGCAAAATCTCTCCACTAACAACGAACCTGTGAAAGACAAAGGAGAAACTCAGCGTCAACATGAACATGTAATTTCCACATGACATTTGTCGATTATTTTATTAAATTCTTATTTTTCTAATCATGGAGATGAATTTGCAGGATGCTATTACATCTTCATCTAGAAAACCAAAAGCCAGGAAGAAAACATCTGATGACACATTACCAACTGAACCAGAAGGCACTGAACTCCAAGGTACCCCCTCCTGCTTTCCTATAATTTCTTATGTCTTAACTGGATATTTAAGATTTATGAATTATGTGTTCAGATGCTGCTGTGGAAAGATTTTGTGAAGTGCTTGAGGATTTATGTGGGAAAGCAGAAATTACTGTGGATGATAGGGAAGAAGGTGAAGCAGAATGGGTACTTCTGCCTGTTGGCAATATTAGAACTCTTGTGAAAGAAGTTATGGCAGCTCGAACAAATAAAATTCAACATTTTGTCCCTGTTGGTCTTCTTGAAAGAATGTTGAAAGTTCTAGATCATCATATTCACAGTGCAGAAGGCTTATCCATTACTCAATCTGAAAGTGTAAGTTTGCTATCTTCATGCTTTAATTCTTGTGGTGCAATGTTTACATATACATGCTTATAGAAAAAAAAAATCCTACTTCTATTTCTTTCTATTCAAAAATTTCTTTTTGAGGCATTGTACTTCTAATTTGCTTTGTATACAATGAAAAGTATACCCATTTATAGCAGTGAAAATTTTGCTTTGTATACAGTGCTCTAAATCTAATTGGTCATGCATTTTTTTCACTACTACTTAACTACCTATAAGCATGTAACAAACAACTGGTTCATCTTTTTTCCTATTTGTATAAATACTGAGTTTGTGTAAATGCATTAACTATTTTTATATGTTTCTGATAATCTGGTTTTAATGTTTTCCATTCTGGTCAATTGTTATCTTTTCCAGTCTTATTCGGATGTAGTGTCTACAATTATGGTAGCACTTGAGTCCATCCATGCAGCTGTTGCAATTATGGCATATAATGGCATGCCAAAGCAAATCTACAAGGAAGAGGTATGTGCCCTAGCTCAAACTATACATTATTTTTTTAGCAAATTACAAAAATGCCCCTTGTGCTTTCTGATTTACACTTTGTTTAGTCCAAAGTTAGAACATTCTCTAGTTTTGGTCCTTATTTCAATGTTCCATAGACCAAAATCGATATGAACCATTAAAACAAGGACCAAATGTGAAAGTAGTTTCAAATTTGGACTAAACACGGTAAAAACAAAAAGTACAGGGACCAAATGTGAGAATAGTTTCAATCTTGTGTTTCTATTGATTTGCATATTAGATCATTGAAAGAATTGTGGAGTTTTCAAGGAGACAAATAGCAGATGTCATGGTAGCTTGTGATCCATCTCATCGTCCCACCAGCAAACCAACTGACAATGGCAATTTGAGCAAAAAACTCGGTAGATCTTTTTGGGATTTAAAAAGATATTCATGCTGAGTTGGCAATCTGTTTACTTATATCTCTAATAATTTACTTTTCCATCTCTTCCCCCTGTTGCATTTGTCAGATAATGATGATGATGATGATGATGATGACGATGATGATGATGATGATGATGATGATGATTATGATGAGGATTTTGGATCTGCTAGCAAGAAAAGGCGAACTACTAGGAATGCAAAAGTGAAAAGATCAGGAACAAACAAGTATGTATAGAAAGTCATCTGAATTTGGGTAGTGTTTGGTATGTAGTAATCCAAGAGGGAATGGAATACAACATTCCTTCTCTTGGGAGAAGGGTGTTTCCTTTTTCATTCCTTGAAGGAATGGAATGATATAATATAACTATAAATCAATTTTCCATATATAATCTTCAATAACTCTGCTGTTTTATAAAAAAATGGAACTTCAATTAAATTATCTTTCTATTTATGAAAAATAACTTTTTTTAAATTATAATTCCGTTTTAACTGAAATAAAAGAAGGGTGTTTTCCTTTTCATTCCTTGAAGGAATGGAACGATATAATATAACTGTAAATCACTTTTCTATATATATAATCTTCAATAACACTGTGTTTCTTTAAAAATAAAACCTCAATTAAATTCTCTCTCTTGTTTTGAAAGCTAATTTAAAAAAAAATATATTATGATTCTCTAAATGATAAATACTTTTTATTTTTGTCAAACAGTTTTCTCTAAATGATAAATACTTCTTTTTTGACTTTTTGAAATACGTGTAGTATATAGTTTAAGGGACATGAAATATGTTTGTATACAATTTATCTAATGATATTAATTTGATTGAAGTTTTTTTAATAAAATATCTTTCTTTTTTCTTTTTTTTTAATCAATTTTGTTGTGTTATATTACATAATAAACAATATGTTTGAATGACGCGTTCCATTGCTTTGTGATTTTATTTCATTATACCAAACAGACCCTAGTTTTCAAAATGCAGAATGAGCAATATACACAGTGATTAATTAAGGCTTTTTTTTTTCAGGACTTCTGCTGCAGCACATAACATACTTCAGAAACTTTGCACCATAATTGGTTTTCTAAAGGATTTATTAATGATAGAGCGCCTCTCAGATAGTTGCATCTTACAACTAGTGAAAACATGCTTTTCCACTTTATTGGTGGATAATGTTCAACTTTTACAATTGAAGGCAATCAGTCTAATAGGCGGGGTATGCAGTTATTTTTTTTGTTTCTTTTTATGGTTTATATTTTTAATGTTTGGGTTTCTTCATTAATCATTTTCAATAAAAACTGAAAATGAATGTATTGATTTTTTTTGCAAACATCTAGTTTTAATTTTGATTATCAATTTGCAGATATTTTATTCATATACTCAGCATCGAGTATACGTGATGGACGATTTACTTCATCTGCTCTTGAAAATACCATTTTCAAAGAAGATTCCTAGAACTTACCACCTTGCAGATGAAGAACAAAGGCAGATTCAAATGATATCTGCTTTATTGATTCAGTTAATTCATTGTAGTGCAAACCTTCCTGATTCTTTGAGGGAAGCACCTGATTCCAATCCATTATTTGAAATTGGAATTGATTCTAGTTACCCTTATAAATCCCAAGAGGCAGTAACTGATGCATGTTGTCTTTTCTGGAGTCGTGTGCTTCAACGATTTGCAAATACTAAGAATCAAAATCAAGATGCATCTGAGTTCAAGGTCATGTTGGAAAATCTTGTTATGGATCTTCTGACAACATTGAATTTACCTGAATACCCTGCTTCAGCTCATATTCTTGAGGTAATCTATATACGAGTTGTAGTCACTTAAGTGTGTGCTTTATTTAGGGTTGAGTTTGGTTTGGTTTGTTTTTTTGTCAAAACCTAAACCAAAACTTAGAAACCGATTTTTAGAAAAGACCCATTGTAGTTGGGTTTTTAGGTGATTAGGTTTTTGTTTGTTTTTTTTTTTTATGAATTTTTTGTATTTGTATTTTTACATTAGCCATGCTGGTAAATATTTAAAAAAGAATGCTATATTTGAAATAGGGTTTTATGCAGAAAAGTCCCATTATTTTGGGGAATTTTTTGATAAAGTCCTAAATGTGTTTTTTTTAACAGAAAAGTCCCATTATGTTGGGAAAATCACATAATCTGTCATTTCCTATTAAAATAAAAAGGACTTTTTCGTTCATTTGGGCAAAATGTTAAATAATAGCAACTTTTCTGTTCAAATTTTTTTTAGGACTTTAGCAAAAGTTTTCCAAAAATAATGGGACTTTTCTTCATAAAACCCTTTAAAATATACTAAGAAAGAGTACAAGTTAAGTAAATGACAATTAAGTTCAAATTTGAATTAGAAAAACACTCAATAGTTCAATAAAAAAAATAAAGTGAATTAAAAAAAAGTTACAAACACTTCTTTGATAGAAACTATTTTCAAAACGTCTTATGGGATTTCTGTTCAGTTTGGTTATTTTTCTGTTTTTATAAAGGGAAAATTACCAAAAAAACATTATATTTTGGGCAAGTTTGTACTTTGACCACTTATGATCTATTTTATTTCCAATCAACCCTTAGAAAATTTTCCAAACTAACCATTTTGATAAGATATAACATATCAAAATGGTTAATTTGGAAAGTTTCCGTTGAAACCCATTATAACAAGTCAGAATCGTTAATTGGAAAAATATCTGAAATTTTTATGGTTTGATTTGAAAAAAATAATGTATTGGTGGTTAAATCACAAAACTGCCCAAAACATATTGGTTTTTCTATAATTTACCCTACTTTAAAAAACAATAAACCAACCAAACCTAAAAACTCATTTTTTTAAAAAAAAAACCAAAAACCAAAAACCAAAAACCAAAAACCAAAAACCAAAAACCAACCATTGGTTTTTTCAAAATTGGTTGCAGGTTCTTTGTGTGTTACTGCTTCAAAACGCGGGTCTGAAGTCAAAAGACGTTGCTGCCCGTTCCATTGCCATTGATGTTCTTGGTACAGTTGCTGCAAGGCTAAAACGGGAAGCTGTCCTCTGTAAAAAGGAAACATTCTGGATTGTAAAAGAGTTACTAGGCAGGGACGAAACCGACATTTCACCTCCAGACGACACATGTTCTGTTTGTTTGGATCCAAAAAGTGAAAAGCCATTGGAACAATGTGAAACTTGTCAGAGATTATTTCATGTAGACTGTATGGGAGTAAGAGAACATGACATATCTGGTAGCAGTTGGTTTTGTCAGCTCTGTCTCTGCAAAAAACAACTCCTTTTTTTACAATCTTATTGTAAGACTCAAGGAAGAGTTGAAGGCACTCACACCCGTAAAAAGTCAAAGTCAAAGGACAAGGACACCTCTGATGTTACAAAAACAGAGATCGTGCAACAGATGTTATTAAATCATCTTCAGGATTTTGCATCTGCTGAGGATGTGCATATTTTTACTAGATGGTTACTTTCTACTTCTTTCACCATTCATCATTTACTTTTTATCTTCTAGAGTAAATTACAAAAATGGTCCTTGAGTATTGCTATTTTTTTTTTTTATCAAGTTTGGTCCCAAAAAGCGTTTTTGTTTTCCAATTTTTTTCTCCACAGTTTTGGTTTTACGAGAGGTTGATTGACTTTTCAAAAGATTTTCGGCCTTCGTTCTAAATAAAATGACCTTTTTACCCTTCATCTGATTTTTTTTTCACAAAATGACCATCTTCTCTGGGAAAATATTTTGTTTTCTTATTTAAGTAACAAATAATTATAAACAGATCAGAAAAGGGTAATATAGTCATTTTACTTAAAAGACAAAAATAAGGACCAAAGTTGCAAAAGTGGATACTTGAGGGCTATTTATGTAAAATTTACTCTTGTCTTTCAAGAATTCAATATTTATTAATCATATGATGTTTGCAGGTTTTATATTTGTTTGTGGTACAAAGATGATCCAAATGGTCAAGAGAAGTTTTTGTACTACCTTGCCAGGCTAAAATCAAAAGCAATTGTGCGTGGTTCTGGGATGGGTTCATCTTTATTGACTAGGAGTTCTGTCAAGAAGATAACATTGGCACTGGGACAGAATAACTCTTTTTCTAGAGGATTTGATAAAATTCTTCACATGCTTCTGGTCAGATATCTTTCATCATTTGCTTCTAGTATCTATAAAACTACTTGATAGTATTTGGTATAATGGAATCGGAGAAGGATGGAATGAGAAAAACCTGTTTGTTTTGCCTGATGGAATGGAATGAACTATTCCTGAAGGAATGGAATGGTTCCTTCCATTAGAATGAAAAAAACCCTCTTTGTTTTGCTGACAGAATGGAATGAACCATTCTTGAAGGAACATGATTCCTTCCATATAAATAGTTTTCATTCCTTAGCCAAGGGGTGTTTTTTCATTCCATCATGGACTCTAATGAAAAATTACAATATAACCCATTTTCATTACCTTAATTAAATTACAATTTTATTATAATTAAAATGACATTCCTAATAGAGTTCAAAATTATACACAGTATCTACATATAGTATTAAAAAACCATTCCATTCCTACAGGCTGACCAAACAATGATCATGGAATGCAATGATTCATTCCATCACTTTACTTATATCATTACCTTATCCATTCCATCCAACCAAACATACCCTTTATGCTTCTTTTTTAGTTGACACTATGAATTACAGGCAAGTTTAAGGGAGGGTTCTCCTGTGATTCGTGCTAAAGCATTGCGTGCAGTAAGTCATGTTTTCTAATAACTTCCATAACACATTTTTATTGAAAAAAAAAGTCCCCCTCACTGTTCTCTTTTCAATTTGATGCTAAAAACAGGTTAGTATCATTGTAGAGGCTGATCCAGAGGTTTTAGGTGATAAATTTGTTCAAACAGCTGTTGAAGGAAGGTTTTGTGACTCTGCTATATCTGTACGAGAAGCAGCATTGGAACTTGTTGGACGATATATTGCTTCACATCCTGATGTTGCTCAGAGGGTAAAATGGCCATAATTTTTTTCATCCTTCCACATTCGGCTTGATTTATTTCTATTTTAATTTACACCTTTCCTTTTTCTAATCAGTATTATGGGAAGGTGGCTGAGAGAGTGAAAGATACTGGAGTGAGTGTTAGGAAACGAGCCATCAGGATCATTAGGGATATGTGTACTTCTAATTCTAATTTCCTGGACTTCAACAGTGCTTGCATTGAAATCATTTCTCGTATTAGCGATGAAGAATCCAGCATTCAGGTAATTTTTTTAGTTTTATAACTACATAAATATAAAATTATTAATTACTTTCTGACAGAAATTTTTATCCTCTTGCATTTACAGGACCTTGTGTGCAAGACATTCTATGAGTTCTGGTTTGAGGAGCCTTCGGGTTCACAAAACCAAATGTACGCAGATGGTAGTTCTGTAACAATGGAAATAGCAAAGAAGACTGAACAAATGGTTGAAATGCTGAGGAAAAGGCCCAATAATCAATTACTTGTCATAGTTATTAAACGTAATTTAGCCCTTGATTTTTTGCCTCAAGCAGCTAAAGCTGCAGGAATCAGTCCTGTGATGCTTGCATCAGTAAGAAAACGATGCGAGCTCATGTGCAAGTGCTTGTTGGAAAAGATATTACGGGTATTGTCTCTTTTTTATTTTTTATTTTTTTCTTGTATAACATTTAACCTGTGAACTGCAGGTAGAGGAAACGAATGTTAATGATATGGAAGTGGGTGCACTACATTATGTCCTGCTCTTGCATGCTTTCTGTGTAGTGGATCCTGCACTTTGTGCACCGGCCTCTAATCCTTCTCAATTTGTGGTCACATTGCAGCCATATTTAAAGAAACAGGTTATCAGTAATTTTGCAACAACATATATTTGTCACTTTTGGCAATGTACTTTAGCTTTAATATTTTTATATCAGGCTGACAATCGAGCAGTTGCCCAACTAGTGGAAAGTATAGTGTTTGTGATTGACTCTGTTTTGCCTTTGGTAAGAAAGCTTCCTCAAAGTGTAATTGAAGATCTTGAACAAGATTTGAAGCAGATGATCGTCCGACATTCTTTTTTGACTGTTGTCCATGCTTGCATCAAGTAAAGTGCATTCTTTTCTTTCTCTCTTTTGATGCCTTAACTCGTTGTACTTTTAGTAGATTACAATTTCGTCCCTGTGGTATGTATGTATGTTGAAATAATCGACTTCTTCCCTTTGAAGAATTCTTGGTGTTCTTCATCACTGCAACAAAGTTTTTGATACACTTATCGTCCCTGGAATGGATGTCGTTAGTTTTAAAGTAAGGGTAAAATCGTCATTTTACATTTGGGTTCACGGATTAAAACTAACGACATTCACTACAGGGACGCAAAGTGCTATAAAACTTTGTTAAAGGGAAGGAACGGAATCCATAATTTTCAACATACCACAGGGATGAAAACTGTAATTTACCCTTGTAGTTTTAGTTGTTGATATTTTTCCTCATCAAGATTGAAATTTAATTGTCAATAAATAGATTACTAAAATGGATCCTCTCATCAAATTATGCTTCTTTGTCACCATTTAACTTTCTCATTTACATTTTCTTATTATGTATTAATGATACTAATCTATTTACCTACAGGTGCCTTTGCTCCATGAGCAAAGTTGCAGGAAAGGGTGCATCTGTTATTCGATATCTTATTCAAGTATTCTTCAAACGCTTGGATTCACTGGGATTCGAAAACAATCAGGTTAGTGAAGTGACCAATGTCCAATTTGATATTTTCTGTATCTAACTTTTTAACTATCAACTAAGTTGATTTCTGATTATTTTTTCAGCAAGTGTGTCGATCTCTTTTCTGTCTTGGATTGCTTATTCGCTATGGAAGCTCTTTGTTACGTATGTCACTTTCCAGCACACAGACTCTTGATGTCTCTGGCAGCCTCACCTTATTCAAAAAGTACTTCTATGCAGAGGATTTTGCTCTCAAAATCAGATCATTGCAGGTATTAATAATAATCAATCGTTTTTATTCTCTTATCTTTATTATTATTCTTATATATTTATTTATAATGTTGACTATCATGTTTGCAGGCATTAGGCTATGTTTTAATTGCAAAGCCAGAATGTATGTTGGAACAAGACATGGGAAATATCTTAGAAGCAACACTCTCTTCTAGCACCGATGCTCGCATCAAGGTTTGAAAATATCATGCAACTTTGATTTGATCCTAGTTTGTAATAAATTTTTTTAATCAAGTTTTTTTTTTGGGTCATCAGATGCAATCACTGCAGAACTTGTTTGAGTACCTTGTAGATTCAGAACAACAGATGGAGAATGATAAAGTTGAATATGAAAAAATTGTTAATAGTAAAGATGCAAGCCATGTCCCTGTTGCTGCTGGTGCAGGTGATACTAACATCTGTGGTGGAATCATTCAGTTATATTGGAATAGCATTTTAGGTAGATGTTTGGATGCAAATGAACAAGTTCGCCAGTCTGCTCTTAAGGTCACAATCTTATTTCTTTTTTTTTTTCTTTACATTTCTTCATCAATAATAGCAAATATGCAACAAATAAAGTAAGTTACTAATATTTTTAGCGAGAGTAAAGCAGGTTGCTATTTCTGGCAATTTGGTCTAACTAAAACTGCTATTTTTACTGCTCCTGTCAAACAGATTGTGGAAATAGTTCTACGCCAAGGTCTAGTTCATCCAATTACATGTGTTCCATATCTGATAGCACTTGAAACAGATCCACAGGAAGCAAACTCAAAGCTTGCTCATCATTTGCTCATGAATATGAATGAGAAGTAATCCCTTTCACTCCTTTTAATTTGTTGTTACAACCTTAATATCCATGTATTTCTCATGCCAATAAATACATAAACCATATTTTCAGGTATCCTGCCTTTTTCGAAAGCCGTCTAGGTGATGGGCTACAGATGTCATTTATCTTCATGCAATCAATGAATCAAAGTCTTCCCGAAACACCAAATGCCCAAAACAAGACACTTAATAACACAAAAGGAAAACCAGATGGAAGCTCCTTCTCTTATGCAAGACTCGGTGTTTCTCGAATTTACAAGGTCATTCGTGGAAATCGCGCATCAAGAAATAAATTCATGTCCTCAATTGTTCGCAAATTCGATACCCCCGCGTGGCATAACTCAGTTGTCACCTTTTTAATGTTGGTTTTCAACTTCTCTCACAATTCTATCCTAAACTCTTTATTGCAATTTAATTTCAATCTCTTTCATTTTCTCTCTCAGATACTGTACAGAGATACTCTCTTTACTCCCTTTCGTGTTACCTGAAGAGCCTCTGTATTTGATTTACGCTATAAATAGAGTTATACAAGTTAGGTCAGGGGGAATCGAGTCCAATATGAAGACATTCCTACATAAGTTACAAGAGCAAATCCCAAAACAACCTGAAAATAGTGTAGTCCAACAGGAGCCAGAGCCAGAGCCAGAGCCAATTGCTCAACCTGTTTCTGGTGAGGAGCCCATTGTAGATGAGAATGCACCAGTTAAAGAAGAGGTTCCCAATGAGATTAAAGAAGAGGCTCCCACTGAGGTTAAAGAAGAGGTGGTTGCTACTGAGGTTAATGTCACTGAAACCGAGCATATGGATCTTGATCAACAATCAATGAACAATGCCATTTCTGTTGTTATTATATCCCCGGATGATCTTCCACACATCCAGGTATAGAAACTTTCATGTATCTGACTATTTCTTTATTATCACTTCTTACTTTCATTTCTTTCTAGTAGTTAACCCATTTGATTAACTTCTTATGGTCTTTCTCATTGTTATCCAGGGTGACTGCCTCGCAGCATGTGCATTGCAACTACTTCTGAAGCTGAAAAGGCACCTGAAAATAATCTATAGTTTAGATGATGCTCGATGCCAGGTACTCCCTCATTCATTTTTACTAATAATATCATTCATTTTTGTCTCACTATGATTTATTATAAACAATTGCAAATTGTGATTTTGTAGGCTTTTTCTCCAGCTGACCCTCCAAAACCAGGGGAGTTTCTTTCACGACAGAATATCCCATTCAATGTAGGTGAGGTAGAGACTACTCGACCCACCACCTACCAGGAGATTTTACAAAGATATCAGGTTATAACTTAATTCACCACTTTTTGATTAAAAAATATGTGAAAAGTATCCTGACTTTAATTTCCTGTTAATAACAGGAATTCAAGAACGCGTTGAGAGAAGACACAGTTGACTACTCGGTCTACACAGCAAATATTAAAAGGAAACGTCCTCCTGGAAGGAAGCCTGGAACTACAAAAGCAGTGTTACAAAGCCGTGTGATGAACAACGGGAACACCAATAAAGATTCCGATGACGATTCCGGTGATGAGAATTGGGGAAGCGGGACCCGCGTAACAACCGGTGTGAGAAGAGGCGGTATCACCACCAGAAGTAGACAAAGGCTATAGTTGTAAATACACCCAATACAACAACAATCTAACATGTACAGCCCCCCTAGAAGAAGAAGAAGAAGCAATCACTCAATCAATCAAAAGAATAGAAAGGTTGTATGAAGTAAGTATGAACAACTTGCAGGTTCGACTTCGACCCTTGCACTCTCATTTTTTACAACTTTGCCCCTTAATACAGGCCATGCTAGTACTAGTCTAATTGCATTGATTTTTCTTTTTCTTATTAATTGCTATGGTTTTAGATCTGTTTAGCGGGTGGGTTTGTGTGAACCTGAAAGACACTTTTGTATATTATTTTATCGTAGATTGAGATAGTTTAGGATCGTAATATGTTGGATTAAAATTTCTTGTGTTGCTTATTTGCTTGGTAAATTTGATTCTAAAAGGTTTTATGTTTTCTTTGAGGAGTTTTACATCAAGCTTTGGGGGATTGTACCTTATGTACAACGAAAACATATGCAAAAGATAATATCAATCTAGTATTTTGAATTTAGGTAATGGTATTAAACAATGTTCGAGTTTTAAAGAAAATCAGAGTACATTACATTGTTTTGATATGGATTTAATTATTTAAACCAAGTTATTTTAGATACAAGGTTATGACTTTTCTACGTCTATTAGAAATCCAAAAAAAAGCCTTATAAACAACCTTATCAAAAAGCTAAGATTTCTTAGGGGAACTGTTCCAAAAATCGTGCAAAACGAAGTCATGACCACTACATCAAAGGCCTTATGTTGGCCAGCTCTCATATAAACAGAATCAAACCACAAAATGTGAGAATTAATAAAAATATCATCGGGAAGATGAATACCCCACCAAATAGCGATACGTGCCAAAATATCAATGAGTTCATGACAACCTGCAAATATATGGTCAATAGTCTCCATATAATGAGAACAAATGTGGCAAAGAATCGAATACACCTCTCTCTCTCTCTCTCTCTCTCTCTCTCTCTCTCCCCCTCCCCCTCCCTCGTTGGAATACTCACTCAGAAGTCAAATCCTCCATAAAAGAACATTCAACTTAATGGGAACCCCCCAATTATTCCACTGGGGTCGTAACACCTCCTAAATAAAGCATACTACCATCAATATAGCGACGCGCAGACGAAACATAAAAGACATAAGAGGTATCAATAATCCAACCCAACCTATCTGGAAACGACTAAATCTGAAGATTCTAAGTAAGAGAGACTAAGCCATCCCACAGCTCCTGCTCAACACTACCTCTAGGAGGATGTCTAAGAGTATGAAGCCTCCACCCCATAGCCATCCGATCACTAATACTCACATGTCTAAAAGTATCCAATGCAAACACTCTATGAAACATGGAAGCAAGAGGCGCCTCCCCCACCCATACATCGTGCCAAAAGGAAGTATGATGACCATCGCCCAACCTAATTAGACATAAATACCGAATGTCGATGTCTCTATCTCTAAGTTGGGTGAACATACGAATAACCCCAGACCAAGGACCCGAGCCAACTCTTATTGTAATCAAAATTCTGCAACCACCATCATAACCGTAAAGAGATCTAATAACACGAGCCCACATGAGATCAGGGGAGTGAAAAAATCTCCACCACCAGCGGAACATCATAGCCTCGTTGAAAGAAAATAAGCTCCCACACCCAAACCTCCCTCATCCCTTGTTGCTAAAACTTTATCCCATCTGACCCAATGGATACGCCTCTCATCCAAGTCTGCACCCCAAAAGAATCTAGCTCTTATAGCCTTTAAAGAAGTCAAAACCGACATGGGATTAAGGAAAATCGACATCATATAACTTCCTAACGAACCTAGAACAAACTTAACCAAAGTAAGCCGATCTCTAAAAGAAAGATATTTGGCCTTCCAACCCGAAAGCCTCGTCCGAAACCGATCAATCAACGGAGACCAAGCAGAAAATCGAGTCAAAGTCTAATCAACCAGAACACCCAGATGAATAAACGGAAGAACTTCTGCAGCACAACCAATCCTGTCAGCAACACAAGAGACCTGGGTATGAGGAACACCCACACCAATCAATTTGCTTTTTTTGCAAATTGATTTTAAGACCTTAAGCCAAATAAAAACAACGAAGAATGTGAATAAGACGATTCATATTGTCTGGATCCCAGACAGACATTAACATGACGTCATCTGCATACAGAAGATGTGAAATCTCAATCCCAGAAATAGAAACCCCCCTAAAAACATTAGCTGATTGGGCTCTAATCAAAGCAACATGTAGCCCCACCATATCCAAAATGAACAGAAAGAGAGATAGCGTCTCCCTGTCTCAGATCACGATGAATTTTGTAACAATTGGTAAAAATCGGTCAGAGTTCGGCGGTCAAACCACCGTGAATTGCTATGTTAAGGATCAATCATGTGTGACTTTATGTTTATAATGCATATTAAAGATATTATATTCATAATTACTTTTAGATTGTCTCAAACTGCTCAACAAACCGTCTATCGTTGAAGACCCGAATCGAAAATCACTAAAAATCAATTCTATTTGTGACGTTAAAAATAATTTTTTGCATCAAGTATACCTAAGACTAATTTATGAGAAATTTGACTAGATTATATTCTCCTGATTCCGTGGATATAAAGAGCGTCCAAAACGGAGATCGTATGAGGAAGTTATGCATATTTCAAGTCATAATAATAAGTATTTATCTGATTTTCCTAAAACGAACTGTGCACTGCTTCGTTTGGGATAACTACAAGCCTCATAAATTGTTTCTGAGCATGTTTTTGAACTCATACTATGGTCTATTATTTAATTTCATTTTTATGACATCTTAATCTCGACCAAAATCAGATTTGTAAAATCTATCGAATTAGATCCAATTAATCGCGAAACTTTAAACGATGTTTCCCGTAGTTCTGTATATCATAACTGAATTTCGTCTGCATTTTTGGAATCACCACGATCGGGAAAATAAGCACACTTTCAGAAAAATTTTAGGAGACAATATGATGGTGTGACAACCCGAAACTTTTCCCGTTTCCGTTTCGTGATTTCCGTTAATAAAATTTCAAATTCGTTAACTTTTCCGTCAAACTTTTTGGTTTAGAAAATAATCTAGTTATATTTAATTAAATTATTTACGAGTCAGAACCAAAATCGTACGGAAACCCGATTATTTCGAAAAAATCGAGCATTTTCGGTCTAAATGAGATTACGACCGTAAACGTGTTTACGGCCGTAAACTCGTTTACGACCGTAAACCTGTTTACGGTCAGTGAAGAGTGGACCCCCCCACAACACCCCTATAAATACGATACCCCCACCTTCATTAGAACATTTCTGGCCAAAAACTCTCTCCTTCTCTCTCTAAGAATCTTAACCGTAAACACTCAAAACGCCTTCAAGCTTCGGAAAACATCGAGAAACCACGTTTGGAGTCACTTTGGAACGTCTGGAAACGCTCATCTCTTCGAAATCAGCAATCAGAACCATCTTTCTTGAGTTTACGGTCCACCTTCAAGAACCGTAAACCCTGTTCTAGAGTTTACGGTCCAACCTTCAAAGACCGTAAACTCTGTTCTTGAGTTTACGGCCGTAAACATCTTTTTGGTGGTGCTTTTGGCTGAAAACTCACCCTCTTTGATTCGATCAAGTCCCGGTAACATTCCTCAACCGAATACAAGTGTTCTTATGACACTTTATTTATCGAAATCGCTAATTTAGATACATATATGTATTTATTTGATAATAGGATTTCGTTAAGTGTCGTGCAACAACTCGAGGATCTTCATTTTCAGTCAACGATTTCACGCAACAACTGTGAGTTCATACCCCTACATTTTTCCATATTTTCAATGTTTTCAGGGGGGGGAATACAAGCTAAACATAAATGTTTTCAAAACTTATGCAAATCTCATACTTTAACCCTTTTGTACTGTGTTGAGCATAAGGGACGTTTTCACAAAAATTTGCATAGTTTTTCGGACACGCTATTTACTATTCATGCAAACTATAATCGGTATAGTTTGGGATTTTCTAAACATCACGAGTACAGAAACTTTCACTATTAAACATATGCACGAAGACAGAAATAGTTTACAGTTACATCACCACTTTTATCATGGTTTTTCATAACTGTAATTATCATTATATACGGTATACATACAGATTTTCACTACGGTAGAACGCTACTACACTACATGTAAACTAGATTGTACGATACTGTGAGGCGCTACTTCACTACTGTACCCTTAGGTGTACATGGATAAATCCTACCACTGTATAACCAGAGTCTCCTGGAGGGAGAGCGTGAGATTTGTGAATAGATCTATTCGGGACTGACAATCCCACATCTGGACTGCTAGCTACAGTTAGGCGGGCACGCCTGAGATGTACAAATGTCATTTAACTCGACGCCTGAAGAACGTTGGAAAGGTCACTAGTCATATCAAGCATGGTTATACGACTCACATTATGTATAAATCACCTTTAGTTTACAAATCTGACACTCTTCAATGGTTTTATTTTTACTAAATAGAACTAAAACACACTACGTATACTGGCCAGGCCAGGGTTTTCAAACAAAACCATTTACGCTATGGCTAAGCATTCAAAATATACTTCATAATTAGCTTTAGCTAGTCTCATGAGGTAGTATATTCGCTTATCACTAAGTTTTCAGTAACGAACATTAATGGTTTTATACGAAATCGATAACGCTACCTTTTCACTAAAGAAAATATCAGATTTTCTTGGAAACATATAGATATTCATGGTTTATTACAGAACTGGTAACACTACATTTTCGCTAAGGAAAATATCGGATTTTCTTGAAACTATACAAATATTTTCTGAACTCATCAACGATTTTCACTACAAACCACCGCTTATGAACTCACCAGCTTTATGCTGATACTCTTTTAAACTGCTTGTATTCTCAGGAAGTCAGTAGACAGGTACCTGCTGGGTTTTTGAAGAGTTGAAGCAATAAGAGTTTAATGTTTATATTCATACAAGTTATATGATGTAATTCAAACAAGTTTCAGAACTGATGTAAACATTTTTATTTTAGTATGCACTGTACTGGTTGTGTTGCTATGATTGCTATTATTCATTGGTTATGATGCTACACATGACGTCCTCCGCCCTGGAACGTTTCCGCCATCGGTTTCGGGGTGTGACAGATGGCATGAGAATCGAGAAATGGAAGTTACATCACAAAAGTGCATTACATTTGACTATAACCCAACATATCTCTAAAAGTCAACTCTAGACTTTCAATAAAGGGGGTGGTGCTGCAAATGAAAGTAAGAGGTACACATCTTTCTCTCGTCTTGTCCTTTCCTTTCTTCTTCATTTTTTCGGCCAACAACACCATCGGATGTGGGTGTTTCCGACCACCGTGAG